AATCATGACCGTTAGACCATCGAGGAATTGATATTACGCGGACAGATCTTTGACAATATCGCAGGAAAAAAGAGGTACACGAAGTGCTTGTATGCTGACGCAGCAACCGCGGAATTGGGCCGCTTGCAAACGGTGCAAATCGCACCATTTTGGCATTCGGATTTGACACAGAATCTGGAGTCGTGATTGGCCCCTCCGTGGGAGGAATGCAAACTGTGTAAACAGTGTAAACTCACATCCTGGCTTCTAATTGGGGGAATTTGCGGACTGTATCTCGGGTCGGATGGAGGTATCTAAAGGCTGGGGGTTTATATAGTCTCTCTTGCTCTCCTACTTGGTCTTTTATTTGTACGATATATTCGTATCTGTGTGTGTCTTTGTGTGTCTGTTATTGATAAGGAATATGGCCGACTTCCTCCCCCGAGTGCTCCGCGCCCTTCTCCGCGAGTCGCGGTATTTCCAGGCTCCGTCGCATACTTGCACCCATGGCCACAACCACAGCCATGCTGCAATGGAAGACCATATTCATACGATGGAGACCTGGGCGCAGATCCGGTTGATGAAGCAGCTCCTCTGTGTGCGACATCCGCGACAGGCTCTGGATCCCGAGCTCCTGCGTGAGATCGAGGGCATTCTACTGTGGGAGCGGGAGCATAGAGCTCTTGTTGATGCTTGCACCTTACCCCAAGTCACTGTATCTACACCTCATCCAACCACGACTACACGATCAATAATAGGTACAGACGCAAAATCTCTTCTACCAACCACAAAACTCTACCTCTGGCAAGGCGACATCACCACCCTTACCAACCTCACCGCCATCACCAACGCCGCCAACACCGCCCTGCTGGGCTGCTTTCAGCCCGCGCACCGCTGCATTGACAATGTGATCCACGCGCGTGCCGGCCCAGGCCTCCGGGAGGAGTGCTTCCGCCTCATGGACGAAAGCCACCGCACGCTCCCCGTCGGCGACGCAGTCGTCACAGCCGGCTACTGTCTGCCTGCGCCGCGGATCATCCACACCGTCGGGCCGCAGCTGGATCCCCACCAGCCCTGCCCTTCTAAGATCCAGAAGGCGCAGCTCGCGCGATGCTATCGTGCCGTGCTTGAGCAAGCAGATGCCCTGCCTTCACCCGAACACGAAAAGATCATTGCTCTTTGCGGAATCTCGACGGGCTTGTTCGGGTACCCTGTTGCCGAGGCGGCGCCGTTGGCCGTGGAGACTGTGGTTACTTGGCTGCGCGAGCACCCCGAGACGAGCATCACGGGGGTGATTTTTAATACCTTCACGGACAAGGAGACGGTCGCTTACGAGCGAGTTCTCTCGCTTTCGCCCACTGGTGCCCTACTAAAACCCCTGCAGTTGATAGGTTCATCGATGCAGCAAGCCCGCGTCTGGCTCCAAGAAGCAGACACGATCCTCTTCAGCTGTGGTGCGGGACTGTCGGCCGCCACGGGGCTGGATTATACCTCCACCACTCTCTTCGCCAAGCGTTTCCCGGCTTTCCAGGCGTTGGGGTTGGCCAAGTTGTACGATACGTTTGGGATGAAGACAGAGGATTGGGGGTCTGAGGAGGTGCGGTGGGGGTTCTATTACACGCATCTGCAGACGGTGCGCACGTGGCCGCGGTCGGCGATGTATACTGCTTTGTTGGAGTGGATGGGGCGGAAATTTGGGATGGATGCGAGAAGGGTGCATGTTCGGACGTCGAATGCAGATGGCCTGTTCCTCGCGCATGGGCTGGATGAGAATGTATTATCGACACCGCAAGGCGCCTATCGCTATCTGCAGTGTTTGGGCAATTGTTGTGAGGACGCGGTGGTGGAGTCGGCGCCGTTGCTGGAGAAGGTGGTCGCGTATGGAGGGCTGGGTGGGGTAACGCAGAGGGTGACAGATGAGAGGTTCATCCCTGTGTGTCGGTTTTGCGGCGGGAAGATGGGAATTTGTGTAAGGGCCGGAAAGTGGTTCAATGAGGCGCCTTTTGAAGAGGGGGAGAAGCGATGGCAGGATTTCAAGGAGAATTTCCTGCGGGACTCGGACAGGAAGGTAGTGATTCTGGAGCTAGGGGTCGGGATGTCAACCCCCGGCGTGCTGAGGTGGGAGAATGAGGAGTTGGTGGAAAGTGGTGAAGGAAGGGTTAAGTTGGTCAGAATAGGATTGGGCGATACAGCGGTCGTACCGGCGGAGCTGGAGGCAATGGGACTGGCGACTTGTGTAGATGGGGATCTGAAGGATGTGTTGGGGGTGACTCTGGATCAGTAGTTTGGTCGTATGTTGGTATCAATCGGTAGCAATGCTACTGCCCCACGATCTCCTGGCAGGCTCGTGTCATTTCCCTCACCACTAGGCTTATAGCTTTGAGCTCCGCGCGGTCCTTGGATGCCACTTCGACGTAGTCATCGAACCACGTTATCAAGTCGACATCTGCTGCGATGTCATCGCGCTCGTAGCATCCGAGAATGTCGTAGCAAAGAACGAAGAGCGGAATGGACTGGTGAAGCAGGATGAGACTGTGATGGTTAGTGGCCAATCTTGTCAATCCCAACAATAGAAGCAACCTACCTGATGCCCCAGTACGGGCGCGGCGTCGCCTCCATGAGCGACCGCGACATCAGTAAACTCTTCCGGGCGATATCCACCGTGTGATATGGCAGCCGATGACTATCTCGATGAGATGGCTTGGATTGGTAAAACACGATAAGCATCTTGTAGCTGCTGAAGAGAATATCCACGCAGAACCACGTGTCAATGCGGTTGGTGGTCGAGCTCAGTAGCTCCTCCTAATTCAGGTCAGGCATGTGTAACTATTCCCTTCCAAAGTACTTACCGGATTCCAATCTGACATGATCTTCTGCACTTCGGCGATCAGCCCATCCATGGTGTCATTGTAATCGGCCGTGTGGGGGTCGGGGTTGGTTGCCATTATATCCAAGTATCGCATCGTCACGATGGTCAGCCGCATGGATGCTAGGAAGTGAATCTGGATGAAACGAGTCGATTCATGATCCACGCCGGTGATGGTGGGATCGGGGAAGTTGACGGCCCAGGACCCCCCCGCGATGATCGGGGGCTTGCCAAAGGAGAGTCGGAAGTGGCTTTCGGTGCGGAGGATGTGCCAGAACTCGAATCGCATGCGATTGCGCTCGATCTCCTCATGTTGCGAGTCTCCTGCCAGTGAAGGTCTTCGGTCGGGATGATGGCGATCCTCGTCCACGGAGAAGTAGCCAAGAGCGCGCGCAACAGGACAGGCTGCCTTGAAGATCTTCCATGAGAGATCGCTCTCGCAGCTCTCCAGCGTCATGGACATCTGCTCTGGTCAGTAGTGTGTATCACAGTCGGAGGAAAGTATGCACACCATCATGAACGCCGCAAATAGATCGGCAGTTGTATTCTGCATCCGGCCGAGCCAGTCCTCCGCTAGCTTCAGACATGTGCTACACAGCGCCTGGACCGTCCGACCCCTCCCTTCTACTTCTTCGCTATCCAGCATGAACGACTGGAAGAGCACATTGTAGTAGATGATCTGGGAGGTCGCGTCGAGCTGGACGTGGGGACTGTCGATCAGATCGGGCATGGCGAGCACGAAATCTTTCTCTAGGGGGATCCGAAAGCCTTCGAACTGGTAGTTGTTGAAGTATTCTGCCTGCAGTTAGCTAGCGTCTTCATCAATCGGGTCTCGTGCATGAGGAGGTATACACACGATTGATCCATTTCTTCACGGTCTCCTTGGGGATCACAGGTGGACTGGCATCCAGCGGCGTTGGCTCGAGCTGCTCGATGCCCGCGATGGCAGCATCCATCGCCCTCATGCAGCGGGGGTTTTCGAAGAAGCGCGACCCGATCTTGTCGATGGCGCAGAAGACGTGGGACCGAAGACGAGACTGGATGCGATCGTCCTTGACGCGAGCCAGCAGGCCCTGCACTATGGCCTGCCCAGTGGGCGACTGAGCACTGGCAGGCGAGTCGGTCGCTGAGGCCTCGGAGGATGAAATCGTCTCAGATTCCACGGACATCGAACGGTGACTCTCGGCCTCCTCAGTGACATTCTGGCTCAGTCGACAGTGGTCTTCGAGGCGATCTAATCTCCGGAGGATTTCCTGCAGGATGTCTCTGTCGTGGAGTGCTCTGGAAGTTTACGGTCGCATTAGCTTTTTTTTTTCTCTGCGTTCTTTCATCATCTTTAAGGATGGACCACCTTCGCTTAATGGTGCGTTGTTTTCTAGGCAGATAGGCGCATTGAGCTCCTGCAGCGGCGCATTTGTCACATCGCGGGTCGGCGCGGTTGCAGCGAATCTAGTTAGCATGTTTGCATGTCGTCATCTGGGAATGAAGAGGGGGCAGGCAGCGAAACCTTTTTGGACTGGCAACGAGTACACTATACCATGGCTAAGTTAGGCAAATCACATTCTTTTGGATGGATAGATCCGCAGGACGCCTGATGGAACTTACCGATAGGGGTTGTGTCATGATGTGCCCAGTGGTGGGTTTGTTTAGTGGGGAAGAGAAGAAAGAAAGGAGCTGAAGGCAGCAAGCAATAATCCGGGAAGTTGCAAGAGTCCGAAATCCCCGAAGACTGAAAGAAGAAACCGAGAATCAAAAAACCGGAGCTGACCGCCTTCCGGGGAGTGCGAAAGTCCGAAAGTCCGTCGCACCAAATGCAGATCGACACCTTTTGTCCCCATTCCATCCCTGCCCTACACCCATGCATCCATGGTTAGACTATTGGGCCTTTTGCATGCACGGATAAGTTAATGACTCCACCCCCCTTGGCCCAGACTCTGATTAGCCTGGCTGGGTCCCCTTCCCTGGCTAGAACATACTAGGTAAACACTCGTACTCGGTAGTCCCGTACTCGGTAGTCCAATGCGTACGTCCCTACTGTACCTACGGAATATTTATGGCCATATAAGTGATGCCCTGTTCCCGCCCGCAGCCTTGCATCTGCGTATCCCCCCTCCCCTCTCACTCACCTTCATGATCTCCTGCGAGGTCAACCGCCATGGGTTCAGCGACTGAAAGCCCTCCTCCACACCAGGGCGAGCATGAGAATACACTCCCTGCGGAGAAGATCGTCTCTGTGACCGACACCTCGACTGCATCATCCACCACCACCAGCAAGAAGTCCAAGTCCGACACCGACGCCAAGGATGCCACATCAGAGCAGACGGCCTCGTTAGGCAGTTATTTTGTACGGGAATTATTCTGCTTCCCCGGCAGAACTTGATGCAGACTTCGCTAACACCCCGCAGAGGTTACTGTCCCATGCAAGTGCGTCGGATCGTGCCATCCTCGCCGTTGCCCTCCTCTCCTCCATCGGGTCGGGTGTTGTATGTGTCCGCAGTCACCCCAATACACACACGGAGTAAACGGCTAATCTCTCCTCGTCTGCAGCCCCTACCGCTCATGAACATCGTGTTTGGGAATATGGTCGGCGAATTCAACGGATACTTCACCGACGACTCCTCCACCACCGAAGCCGAGTTCAAGTCCGCCATCAGCAAACTGAGGTGAGTGCGATGCGAGCCATCGAAGAGACCCCCGACCGAGCCGAACCCTAACTCACGAACCAGCCTGTACATCGTCTACCTCTTCATCGCCAAATTCGCCCTCACATACTTTTCGATGGTGCGTCCACCGTGCCCAGCCCATCTCAAAGTCTCCGCAGCATATGAATAACCTCGTCTAGTACTGCTTCCGCGTGATCGGCCTCCGCGTCTCCGGCACCCTCCGCCTGCAGTACATGCACGCGCTCTTCGCGCAGCCGATCAGCAAGCTGGACCTGGTCTCCGTCGGCACCGTCACCAACACGATCACCACGCTCTCCAACTCGATCCAGCAGAGCATCTCCGACAAGCTGGCCATCCTGTTCCAGTCACTCGCCCTGCTCGTCGCCGCCTACGTCATCGCCTTCCGCTACTCGTGGGCCCTGACGCTCGTCACCAGCGCCGCCCTGGTCTTCATTTTCGCCGTCTGCTTCATCGCCGTGCCGATGATGACCAAGATCCAGCGCCAGGTCGACAAGGCCGACGAGAAGCACTCCTCCATCGCCGCCGAGGTCATCGGCTCGATCCGGACGGTCGTGTCCCTGGGCGCCGAGGGGACGTTGGCGCAGCGGTACGCCGACTGGATCGAGATCGCCCGGTTGCGCGGCCGCAAGCTGTCCGTGGTGATGGCGGTGCAGCTGGGGCTGGTCTTCTTCGCCATGTACGCGAGCTACTCGTTGGCGTTTTGGTTCGGGCTCAAACTATACCGGGAGGGGCATATCCAAAACATCAACACGGTTATCACGTGAGGCTCACAGCTTTCTTGGGTTGGGGAAATTGAGATGTAATGGCTAGACTAACGCTCGACAGGGTGTTCTTCTCGGTGATGGTGGCCGTCAGCGTGCTGGGCCGCATCGCCTCCCCGCTCGTGACCATCGCCAAGGCCGCCAGCGCTGCGGGCGCCTTCTTCGAGATGATCGACAGCGACAAGCCGAATGCAAGTGGACTCCGTGGCCCGGAAGTCTCCGCGGAGGTCGACCTTGTCTTCCAGAATGTGCATTTTACCTACCCGTCGCGACCCGACTCGAAGGTGCTCAAGGGCTTGAACGCCCGGTTCCAGAAACACAAGACGACGGCCTTGGTTGGTCCCTCGGGCTCCGGTAAGAGCACGATCGTGGGTTTGCTGGAGCGCTGGTATGAGCTGAATGCCAATGCGGAGCATCCCGACCAAGGGGCTATCCTGGTCGGGGAGCACAATGTCCAGGATCTGGATCTGAAGTGGTGGCGCACGCAGATCGGGCTGGTGCAGCAGGAGCCGATCTTGTTCAACGATACCATCTTCAACAACATCGCGTACGGGCTGATCGGCACACAGTGGGAGCATGAGTCGGACGAGGTCAAAAAGGGGCTCGTACAGCAGGCTTGCAGGGAGGCGTTTGCGGATGAGTTTATCGATCGGTTGCCGGAGGTATGTGTCTTCAATATCGGAGTCGAATGTTATCTGACGGGGATAGGGTTTCGCGACTATGGTCGGCGAGAACGGGACGAAACTGAGCGGCGGACAGCGGCAACGGCTGGCCATCGCGCGGAGTATCGTCAAGCAACCGACCATCCTCATTCTGGACGAAGCGACCAGTGCCATCGATGTAAGAGGCGAGAAGATCGTGCAGGCGGCGCTGGATCGCCTCGCGGAGAACCGTACAACCATCGTGATCGCCCATCGGTTGACGACGATCCGCAAAGCGGATCACATCATCGTGATGAAGGGTGGGGTTGATGTCGAGCAGGGAACGCACGAGGAGCTTCTGGCAATCGAGGATGGGGTGTACAGTGGGCTGGTGAATGCCCAGACTCTCGAGCTGTTAGACGCAGAAGGGAGTGACATTCACGATGAGATGGACGACACCGACGACGACGCCAAGTCAGCCAAGATGAGCTTGAAAAAGTTCGGAAAAGAAGAAGAGCTGGAGAAGTCGAAGAACAGAGGCTTTTTTGGCAGTATTGGAGTGTTCCTATACGAGAACAGAGGGCAATGGCGTTTCTACCTTCCGGCCTTGCTCGGCGCCGCTGGTGCTGGAGGTAAGCATTGCGAGGAGTGTGATTGTGTGGCAGCTACTGACGTGAACTAGCTGCCTACCCCATTCAGAGTTGGCTGTTTGCGAGAATCATCCAGGTCTTCCAGTACTCAGGGGATAAGCTGGTGCACGCTGCCAATTTCTGGGCTCTGATGTTCTTGGTTCTCGCTCTGGGGAATGGGGTCTGTTATGCCCTGATCGGCTATTCCGCCAACCGGTTCTCAGTGGTAAGTCACCCTTCACCTTGGACCGACGAACGAAGCTAACATGGAAAGGAAATCTCCTCGTACTGCCGAACTGAATACTTCCAGAACATCATCGAGAAGCCCATCCCCTTTCACGATCGCACCGACAATGCCTCAGGCTCGCTGGTCTCTCGTCTGGCTACCGACCCCAAGCAAGTGCAGGAACTCCTTGGCATCAACGGAGCGCTTCCCTGCATGTCGATCTTCGGTATGATCGGATGTATCATCATCGCCTTCACTTTCGGCTGGAAACTCAGTCTGGTGGCTGTGTTAGCAGCGCTGCCTTGCACCTTTCTGGCGGCCTTCATGCGCATTCGCTACGAAGTGCAATTCGACGCGATGAATGCAGCCGTCTACTCTGGCAGCTCGCAGTTCGCAGCGGAAGCCATCGACGCCTTCCGGACGGTGTCAGCACTGACAATGGAGGACGCCATCCTGAACCGCTACTCAACCATGCTACTTGCGCAGCAAAAGAAGGCCTTCCACAAGGCATGGTATGCAACCTTAGTCTTCGCCTTCTCCGATAGTGTCGAGCTGTGCGCTATGGCGCTCACCTTCTGGTACGGAGGGCAGCTCCTCGCCTCACGAGAATACGAGCCCACCTCCTTCTTTGTGATCTACATGGCCATAATTCAGGGAGGACAGCAAGCCGGCCAGTTCTTTAGTTTTGGGTCAAACATCGCCCAGGCCATTGCCTCCGCGAACCGCATGCTGGACTTCCGGCCGAACCGCAACGAGAACCCACAGCAGATGACCACCACCACCACCAATAGTGCAGGCCAGTCTGCAACAGCAGCAAGCATCAGCTTCCGCGACGTCACTTTCCGCTATGCTTCACACGACCGCCCCCTCTTCACGGGCCTAAACCTGGACATCAGCCCAGGCCAATTCGTCGCCTTCGTCGGCCCATCCGGTTGCGGAAAGACCACCGTCATTTCCTTGCTCGAACGATTCTACAGCCCCGCCAAAGGCACTGTCCTCCTCAACGACCAGGATATCACCACCATCGACCCGGCCACGTACCGCAAGACTATCTCGCTGGTGGCCCAGGAACCCCGACTATTCGAGGGCACCATCCGCGAAAACATCACCCTCGGCTTGCCCAACCCATCTGAGGTTTCGGATACGGAAATCGAACAAGCATGCCGCGACGCCGAAATCCACGACTTCATCACCTCCCTCCCGCAGGGGTATGCCACCGAGCTAGGTATCAAAGCTCAGGCTGCTTTGAGCGGCGGCCAACGCCAGAGGCTGTGTATTGCAAGAGCGTTGCTGCGGAAGCCGAAGCTACTGCTCCTGGACGAGGCGACGTCGAGTCTGGATTCGCAGTCCGAGAAGGTGGTGCAGGCTGCGCTGGAACGGTTGGCGGCGAAGAGGTGTCTGACCATCGTCGCGGTGGCGCATCGGTTGGCGACGATTCAGAAAGCGGATGTCATCTTTGTGTTTGGGGAGGGAGGGCTTGGTGGGTCGAGAGTCGTCGAGCAGGGGACGCATGCGGAGTTGGTGGTGAGGCGGGGGGTCTATTACCAAATGGTAAGCTCTCTTTCTCTCTGATGTGTGGGATGGGAAATGCTAACTGTGTGATAGTGTCAGGAAAACGCGTTGGATCGGTGATAGCCTGGTGATACTCAGGCTGGGCGAAGAGGCCCCTTGGGATGACAGCTCGACTTCTGGATGATGTTGATGGGGAAAAAACCTACCATGGATGCGTATGACAAGGGAAAGCTGCGTCACCTGCGCCACCAGCAGAATGGAGAAATCGGGAACAGAGAGTTGGCGCAAGAGTGCTTGGACAGAAATTAATTATACACTTATACCCTGTATAGTAAATAATTCATTATACCCACACGAGAATATTATGTTGACCGTGCTCAGCGTCGATAGGAGCAGGAAATAGCACGATCGAAGGCGAGGCAAAACGAGGACATCAGAAAGACGTAAGGGAGCATTCTGGTGGGAATACCAAATCGAGGCATCTGACGGTTTTCATGGCATGTTTTAGAGCTTAAGCATGATTCTTGTCGAGAGGTGCGTTGATTATTTGACTCCAGCGCTATGTCTTTGTCCTTGGATGGGGAAGGTGCCCTTGACGCTGCGGAAAATGGCTCATATGCCAACTACCGACCCTTCTTTTCGAATAAGCAGTACTAGTGTACTCGCTTGCGAGGTACAGCAAGGACAGTCAAGGTCTAAATGCGAGAGATTAGTGGTCCAACATACCAGAGATTGTTGTACTTATCTAATAAGCAGCGGGAACAGCTCCCCCACCAGCAAGTGACCTCACGGCCGCGGGCCACGGATATCCTAGAAAGGTGCTCCGTAGAATGGTGTTAGAAGTATAGCAGCCCGTATTGCTGTAATGATGACAAGTGCATGCGAGATACTTTACAGCGAAGTTTCGTCGCGATCCCAATGACTCATGCCACTCTACAACTTCGAACAACAGGTAACTTGTACGTCCTTGACTTCGACTTACCTTCTCAAGTATTTTGATCCTCTACAACCTTTCAAACGGATTTCTATCGAACCTGACTCCTACCAAGCTCTTTTATCGAATCAAAATTTCATTACCCAATTGTGAGTTCAATATTTCAGTTCATATCCCGGCAACTCACTCCTAACTTCATGCTCCCTTAGCCACCTTGGCCTTCTACTCTTCCGTAAGAGCCCAACAACCAGAGTTTATAGATCGCGTTCGCAAGATGTGTTGCTTGTTCGAGTTCTTCCTCCGCGCCAGCATCGAGCCTGTCATGATCCACCGCGAAAACAGCTTGGAACGTGACGGTAGATGGCGTGAGGCCCAAAAACTCCGGCGGCAATACTACACTATGACCTTCAGCTGGCTCTACGACTTCGAGCGAGTCGGCGAGCTGATTCGAGCGGAGAAGCAACTGGTATTTCTGGCCCAGAAAGAAGAATTCCTTCGCGAGTGCGAGAGGAGGTGTCTAATACACTTGGAAATCAATCTATGCCCCGACGAGTCCCTGATCGAAAAGCTACAGACGGCCCAGAGGCTGTCGTCCGAAGTACGCCAGACTCTATGGTATGAAGCCCGACGATACCGGAAGATGCTCGCCTTCATCCCCGACGGCCCTTTGAGACGTGCTCTGCATGCCTGCCGGCGTCAGCATATCTGGTATCTCCTATCTAACTTGCAGCGAGCCCAATGTGCGGCCATGGGAGGATGCTGTGGTCGAAGCTGTGGCTGCTGTTCGAGGCCGAGGAACCCGGATAGTCACAGTCAGCACCATGGGCATTGCTTCTCGTACTGCATCTGCTGTACAGACGCCAGAGGCTTTGATATTCGGCCCAAGCGCTTAGAGGACGATCCAATGCATCAACCTTTTGATATGTCTCCTGGAAAATACATGGGTGCCTATGAACTACGATTGCTGGAATCTTACATCTGGGGTCTCCTATAGTCCTATGGCACGGGCCGGATGTCATACACCCTTCGAGCCTTCCGCCATTCCGTTGCTTACAACAGCCTCTTGGCTCTTTCTTTGAACGCAATCGTGCAATTGTTTCTCGAGGATGGCGCCATAAGGTATCTGTACTGCGCTTTCCGTTTGATGTTTATTTCTGCTACTCTATACGGTCTCTACCATTGTTGATCATGAACGAACACACTCTGAAGCTTGGAAGAACTTGCTCGTTTCTGCTCAAGTAGAAGCTGGTATCTTTGATTGCGTATTATCCTCAACCAACCCTGAGCTCTCGAGTCGCACAGTTGGCAAGTCCGCGTTCACCAACTGAGTCCTCGACACGTCCACCCGTACCTCACATTAGCATTTCTTGCACCTTCTTATCCAGAGCATATACAATCACAATGTAATGGCCTTTACAAGAAGTACTAGATAATCGATGCCAGCCTGCTCCTTCTATAGAATAGTGAGGCGCAAATGAACCCTAGCGAATGCGCCTCGTAATTCAACTATTATCGCATTTCACTTGACTCGTTATTTGCACGAAGTTCCTTCATCTCTGGCTTACGTGTACTTCAGGGCTTTAATAGGAATCTTATGGCCGCCTCCTGCTCACTACACCAATACTTTAAGACATATGCTTAGATTACCTTGATGTTTAATGTATATTTATATAATTCATACAGTGCTAATTTATACAGTGTCCCTAGGACACACAAAGTACAAAAGAAAAAGAAAGGGAAAAAATAAGCAAAAAAACAAAAAGAAACCAACCGACAAACAAACAAGCAACGATAAACATCACCCATTCTCCCCCCCCCCCGTGTCCTAAAACCAACCCCCCTCACCAAGATCTCAGTTGACCCCTGCTGGGCCGGCTGATTGCCCCACTTTGAGACGATCTTGCTCACGGTTCGACCCAGGAAGCTTTGGCCCTTTTGCAGGGGCTGGGACGGCTGCTGCGGGGGCTGCTGCGGGGGCTGCTGCAGCTCTAGTCGCTGGTCCTGAGTGACCAGTGGAGGGAGAGGAGGGAGCGGAGCAACCGGAGCTGCTGCCAGCGCTGCCAGCGCTGCTGGCATGAGGTGGGAAGGGAACGAAGGCGCCGGCGGGGCTATTGTAGAAAGTATATTAGTTTCATCTAACCCTTGATGTTGGCAAAAGAGGATCTCACATTCACGAGCCCCATGTCGCCATAAAGCCCAAGCATCGCCAACGTTGGTTGGCTTGTATCGGGAAAAAGCAGCAAACCTAGATGGACTCAGATTACTCTCACATTACTCTCACATTACTCTCACATTACTCTCACATTACTCTCACATTACTCTCACATGAGTCTGATGTAATGGTTGGCTCGTACCGACGTCGGGCCCAAAGGACCCCGGCATAAACCCCAAGATGCACAAGCTTCCGGAAGCCATCATGAGCAAAACAAACCACCAGTTCTTACTGGTGATGGCGGCCAGGGCATCGGAACGGCTGCGATGAAAGCCATATCAGATTTATAGTGTGTCTTCAAATTATGGTGCTCAAGAGGAACGTACCCCGGCGGGCATTGCGCCGCCAAGCCGCCCAGTCTTCGAAAACATTGGTAATTGAAACTATAGACTGAGGCTTTAGTCTGACGCTCACGCTGAATGTGATAAGGATGGGGGCTCTTACCGCTAGTTTGCGTGATGCTATGCGTAGAGTAGCCCGCTGAAGTTGAGAACAGAGAGGATGCTCTAGTCCGAGTAGAGCCGGCGATTCGTGTTGCTCCTGGAGGAGAACGTGGAGACCACGTCGCCGGTTGCGGCGGCGAACGAATGATCTGTTGGACAATGGTCTGATAGTCCGGTTGAAGAGTAGAATAATCTCCATCAGACAATTCGAAACAGGCTCTGTCGCAAAGAAAAATGACTTCCGAATAGACGATTGGTAGAGGATGCTGGGGAGGCAGGGAGGCAGCACACTTGGATTGATTCTTAAAGATTCCATGGAAGAAAGCGCCTGGGTATGAGGCCTCCAAGCGACAGGTGCGAACGAGTCAATGGCTCCCGGGTGGTCCGAAGTACCTGCCCAAGCAAACAGTTCAGCTCAACAGAGCCTGGCTTGAGGCTTAAATGGAGTAAAGAAATAAGATACATTGATTCGACATGAAAAATCATGAGAACTCGTGTTGAGATGGAACGATTTAACTCGAGAAGTAGAACTGGAAAGTGTACTAGGTATTCTCATGCAGAGATTTTGAACTTCGAACAACCTATCTTCATGTCTTCCCGCCACCCGACACCTGAGCAAGCGCTTAGAACGAGTGGGATCAGAACTTGACAATGGTTACGTGAAGGAAGCTAGGCACGCAAACAATAAATCAGGTTTTGGACATGATAGAGTATTCAGTTGTCACATTCAATTGATCAAACTGCCTTACAGCTCATGTATTAACATTTGGCAAGCGACGCAATTTTCAGGCAACCATGCGAACTAGACATATGATCGGCATGCTTACAGCCTTGGGACTTCACAGGTAGAGGAGTCGTAGTCTGTGAATGAATAGGTCTTCCCAGAGCAATTGGTCTGTAGACTAGATGCGTAAAATATCCGACGTGCCACGTTGAGCAACATCCTACAACATCAATCACGATTGAACAGGTTCTCCTTGACCACTTTCCGAATCTTCTTCCGATACCGCACGGGGTGCTTTTTCAAAAGATGGTAGGGCTTGCTTTGCGCCGGCGACTCGGGATTCGGGTTATCCAGCAGCTCCTGCACCCCGAGCAGAATCTCCTTGACCGACAGATTCGACGACCAGGATTCCTTTGGATCGAGGATCGAAAGGCAGACGGTTCCAATTGGAAGATGTTGGGATGGAACAACGGAGGGTTGAATCGGCCTGCCTGGCCTGCCTGGCCAGTTAGTCATAGGATCTGTGGCTGAAGCGGGCGGGGGTGGATGTACACTTCGGGGGCTTGCTTGGGTACTCTGTGACATGCAATCGTTAATATGGCTGTGACGCAGACCAAGGGAATGCAACAAAGTCAACTGACCATCAGGAAATATCATCAGCATCTTGAAAAGACCCCCCTCCCACATGGTGCCCGCCTTGCCGGGAATTCCGCACTCCCATTTCTTCATGTCGCGGACACCCTGGCGGTTTCGACTTGGTCGCGCGTAGAATCCGAAGAGAGGCTTCTTGCGCCATTTGCGTCTGGGGGCGGTGATGACTGGTATTAGTTTTGTCAGCACTTCTCAACGAAGGTTGAAGCTGGACAGGGATATAATGATTTACAGCTCCTCCATGATTCGGTCCTGACTGAGCGACATTGTTGGGCTGACGTGAGATCCTGATCGCTAGGCAGGGAGAGTAGACGGATTCGGTTGATGATCTGATAACGATCCTGGGGAGGGAGTGAGACCTATGAGACTGAGCTAAAAAGAGACAGAGTTGACGAGGCACTATGGAAAGACCAGGCTAATGAGACTGGAAGCTTCGCACCCTGCGTCGCGATGTAAAGATGTAGAGGAGAGATGTCGAGAAAACAGGAAGGTTGCAAGGGAGAGGAAAAACTCAAGGAGTGAGAGTAGGAAGTCACTTCCATATTCAAGTACCATATTTGATGCCCGCCCTGTGGTGCTGGTCTTTGTTCTGCATTCACTATCGAGCTTTGCGAAAATTCAACAGGTCGGATCGTGAGAGGCAGAGATGACGGATGCATGCCCAAGTCCTTTAATATCATGAGATCCATCTGGGGCTAGAAGTTGAAACGTTCTCGAGAGCAAGATGCAGGGCATTCTGAATGGATCGCCTATCTTGTGGCTATTGCTCAGTGGGATGACAAATGCCTTGACGAGGATTTTGACGCGTTGGCAATCCGCAAGAATGAGGCATTTTTCTCACCTAAATAACACCGGCCATAGGTACAACACACTGTTACCGCGCTGGTCCGCGGGGCCTGGAACAAAGAAGCAAGATTGAGAACGCAACGACTCTGTCATATTCGAAAGAAGGGAAGCTCACCGCAAGCCAATATCACAACACTAGCATTGGCATAACCAAAAGCCATATTAGCAGCCTCGACGAGCTTTATACTCTTTCCTTTTCTCACCTCTGTGATGCTTTGTACCCTCCTGACGGGATGCCTTGATCCTGGCCGTGTCGCATCAATTTGGAAAGATTTTCGATCACCAAGGACAAGTTTAACCTCGAATTCCAAGTTGAATTGCTGTGGCGACCGAGTCCCAGCACACTAAATCATCGCGCTGCGCAGCTACTCACTCTACGAAACAGACGCTTACACCCTATTCCCGGCCTCAGCCAGCGCTTCACGAACGAGGTGCCTCTCCTGATGCCCCCCTGCATCCCCAAACAACGAGTCGATCTCCTCCAGCGTCTTGCCGCTTGTTTCTGGAACTAGGAAGAACGCCCACACACCCGCCAGCGTACACATCACCGCGAAGAAAATGTACGTCCGGTACCCGATATCCGCCAGCATCGACGGGGTGACAATACCCACTACAAAGTCGGAAAGCCAGATGGTGCACGTCGCCAGCGCCACCCCCTTGGAGCGACACGCGTTGGGAAAGACTTCCGCGGGGAGCGCCCACCCCAGAGGGGAATATGAGACTCCATACACCAGAATGAAGACGAACGCCATAGCCACGCATGCCCATCCCGCAGCCGGATGGCCGGGCCAGTTGCTCGAGAAGAGCCCGCTCAACACCGCAATGATTGCATACGATATTGTCATTCCGAAGGCACCGTAGATGGCGAGTGGTCGACGTCCAACTGACTCAATAATAAAGGTGCAGATGATGGCTGCAACAACCTGCAGCACATTGAAAACACCTGACAAAACAAGCGATCTCTCGTTCGATTGACCGAGCGATTCGAACAGTGTTGGCGCGTAGTAAATAAAAGCGTTGATTCCCGAGAACTGCTGAAAGAATGCGACGCCACAGCCCACAGCGACGCGTTTCCAAATGCCACTACGGAAGAGGTCGAGCCAGGAGACCAGCTCCAGTTTGAGGCCCGATGCACCGGGGTGTCTGCGCTCTTGGACGAGCCGCTGGAATTTGACTTCGGAGACAATCGCGGTGTACTCGGCTTGCACTCGGACGTCGGTGGTCGGAAGGCGTCGGAGTTTGGCGAGGCTGGCGAGACATTCCTCTTGTCGGTCGACGAGGGCGAGCCAACGCGGGGAGTATGGAAATAGATGAATGCCCGCGCCTAGGAGGGTGGCGGTGACCATCTGCAGCCCGAACGGGACGCGGAAGGAGGCTTCTCCGTCGATGTGGCGAGTGGCATAGGTGATCCAGTAGGCGATCACAACGCCAAGGGTGATGGAGACGGACTCGAGTACGAGGAGAACGCCTCGCAGTTCGGGAGGGGAGACCTCGGAGATGTACAGTGGGGCACCCTCGAGACATCAAACTAGGTCAGCCACGTCACATGAACCCAGAACCTCCTTAACAACCTTGCTAGGTATCCGTGACACAGGTGCATACGTACCATTGCCAAAGTCCCCACGCCAATGCCACCAATGAATCGACCAGCGACCAGCATATCATAATTGACAGCAGCTGTCTGCAGGATGGCTCCGATGTCGAAGATGACCACCACCACGGTCAACGCCCATTTGCGGGAGATGCGATCGGCGAGATAGGACATGAAGAGACAGCCGACAAAGGCCCCCAGCAGCAACATGCCTGTCATGAGACCTTTTCCAAACGACGTTTCGGATCGGGGAAAGACCTGGTGGAACTGATCCATCACGTTGATGATGGAGATGACCCCCATGTCGTAGCCCATGGAGAAACCCCCGAGGGAGGCCAGCAGAGCTGAGCCAAACACATACCACGAGCGGAAAAGGCCTGTGATGCCACCGGGGCCATAGACGACCGACTCCGAGTGGCTGATCTCAACGGACTCGGCATGTTCCGCGGTGGCATCGTCCTTGCCCAAATGGGGGGATAGATCGCCTTTAACAATGTCTGCCATGAGTGGCAATTTGGTTCGGTAGAGAATTGAGTCGTAAGATGGTGAGTTTGCTAATGCAGGGTGGAGAATGAGTGAGTCACCTTCAGCTTCGCATGCGCATATTTATACCGTGTAGGTCCCCAGTGAGTCGGCAATTGAATCAAGCACTCAATATCACTCACTACCCCGGACTGTACCCCAGATTTCTGCCGAATCCTCCCCACAATCGAGACTCTTTCCCCGCATTTGCGTCTGAGGAATGCGGTCGGGATTCTTGTGATTGGCGGGGCAAGGTTTTGCCTCGCGGGAGAAAATGCTACTTTCCACCTCGAGAGCGGGCATCTTTGCCGCTTCCAGCTGTTGTACCCCCGGCAGAGGGTCTCACCTCCGGTTCGGGCACTTTTCCCCGCCACTGGGCAGCAGGTGTGGGTTGAGAGATTCTCCTACATGACGTCGACGAGGCTGGCTGAGGCTGCCAGATGAAGCTTTACTGATGACCGCTGATCAGAAACTAATTCCCGAATCACTCACACTATGCACCCACTCGCTCACCACGGCGGTCAATTCATGGTAGGCGATATCTATGTCATTTACAAGATTAAGGGTCGCAGGAATCGACAATGCTCAAGGGAAAAACAGGACAACATTGCAATAAATTGACGAACAGGCAAATCGGGAAGCAGAGCATGTCGAATGACGGATTGATCATGGGCGGAAGAGTAAACACTCCCCGGTATCAAACACCGACAGGATGAACTGATCCAATTCTATCCCTTCTACATAGGCACACCCTCGACAATCCAATTCAAGAGCTTGGATCCCCGAATCTCCTCGGCTCGTTTCACCAGCTCCTCCGCATCCCAGTTCACCCACACGAACTTCCCCTTGAGAAACTCCGCCTCTGCAGAAGCCAACCAGACATAGAACTGGCCCGGCAATTCAGCTATTCAGACCCCCGTTAGCATGCGCTCATTTACGGAGATGAGACAACGTCCGAACATACCTTGATCCGGCGCTTCGGCCTGATAGCCATTGCCTTCCGTCGCTACCCAGCCAGGCTGGGCACTCACCACGCGCACATGACGGTTCTCTGCTGCAACGTACTCCATCATCTTCAGCACCGCGGCCTTCGACACCGCGTATCCGCTCAGACCAGGCATCGGGGCAATATTCCCTAGACATGAGGAAGTGTTCAACAGCACGGGGTCAGGTCCCGCGACGGCCAAAAACCCCTGCACAGCATTCAGCGCGCTCTGGATATTCTCCACCACACCTCCCAGATAATCCTCCACGTCGTACGCCCGGATTAACCCGGGCGTAGGTAGGGTTCCCGCGTTGGAGACGAAGATGTCGATCTTCCCGACCCGGGAAACAATGGAAGCAAGGGCCTCGTCGACGGCACTGCGCTGACGGAGATCGGCTACTTCATAAAGGACCTGAGTCGAGGTGTGCGCTTGAGTGGCCGCGGTGGTGATTTTCTCCGCCCCCGATTTCAGGGTCTCCAGACGACGGCCGAGGATGGAGACGGACTTGGCGCTGGCCTGGGCAAAGGCCACGGCGATGGCGTTGCCGATGCCGCTGCCGCCGCCCGTGATCATCACGTTCTTGCCTGCCGCCGAGAGCTCGGGACGCGAGGGCGAGATGAAGGCGTAGGGCTTGGTGTGCCACTCCTTGGTGAAGGAGATGGGCTTGGGGTAGTCGTTGGAGGATGACATATTGGACAAGCTTTGATGGTGCTGTTAGATGTTATGACTTGGTCTGTGGTGAAGGTGCTGTGCTCGATGCCGGTGTTCAATGGAAGGCGTCTTGACCTGTTTGATCTTTATATACCCTCCTGTCGGGTGTGAGCCCCCATGATGCCAAACATATTCATTCTTGCAAAGACTATCTTTTATCAGCATCCTCAGGGCAGAGGATGCTGTTCACGCTATTTGGTATGGTAGTGTCATGAGAAGTGGTTGGTGGTGATGTTGATTTCTAATCTCCAGCCTGTGTGTTGATCTTCCCGACGGGATCTTGGCAGTGCTGCTGCACTCTACCAGGAGATTTCAAACCCTCCAGGGTCCAAGGGATCTGAACTTACCGTCGGCTTTCGGGACGGGATTCACAGTCTGATCGCTGCGGTATAGACGCAACACTACTCGTCAAGTACGTACAGACAGACGCGTAGATGCATCATTCCCGAATCACTACGCGAACACAATATGATCACTCAGTGTCTTTGACAATTTATTCAAATAATTTTCCACGGGATTCCATTCAACCAAAAGGTGATTACTGGCTTACGGCGTAGTCTACAATTATAATTATTTTCGCAGAGTCCCGAAGCACCTCTCGAGAATCTCCGTCATTGTCTCATCTAGGTCATTGCTGCTCGATCGAGCTGAGCACTCGAAGAGGGCATTGGCGATCAGGAACAACTTCAATATGACATAGGCTATGTAAGACCGCATCATTGCAAGACACATAAGTGCCGTGCTGGATTACTTATTTACAGTTCACTATATGATAGGGAGGCCTGTAGACGTGCCGGGCTTGATCTTATCAGGCATGGATTGGATCGTAGCGCGTGCGGTCTACGGACAAAGCCGGAGAACCACGGCCAAAACTCGGGGGGTAGAGGCTGGTATCTCTCTGACCGCCCCAGAACGACAGTGGGCGAGAACTCGGCGGCGAAACTGTTCTTCATTTCCGACCGCCTAAAAGAGCAGAATGGTGCCTGCTTTGATCGCCGGGGCTGCTGCTTGCCCCTGTAGGCAATTCTTCTGGATTGTGGCAAGATGCTGAGACTGAGAAGTATTAAGCCTGCTGCCCTTGTGGTTTTCATTGCCTAGTTGCAACCTGATACTCCTACTACTGGCTTAATTTGATTGTGGACATGACCTTGATATAAATAAATCACTCAACCCTATGCCTGAACTTAATATGCTGTGTATGCTTCGACTGGAGATTTCTGATGAGTTACCCAATCGCGAAGGAGTATTATCACTTCAAAGAAAAGGAAGAGAGCATTATTTACCGCAGCCCTTTCAGTCTATAGTTTATCGACAGTCATCCTCATATCCGATACACGCCCATGCTCACAAGACTTTCCGCCGCTCTCATTACGAGGGTTCGCATCGTGATACGCCTATTTCTCGTGACAAATTGGATCTTTTCATTGAGAGCTCTACCATTTTGAATGTGTCTGCTCCTTCCACAACTTCGAGAGATCACTCTTCTGGAGTACCCCACGGGATGAACTTGCTCACAGGCTACACCTGCGGTAGCTACCTATTTATACAATCCTATGTAAGCATCTATCGCAGGTAAAGCATGGTCTGTACGAGTCGTATTTGCATTAAATGCGTTTCAATAGTAGAATAGTAAATGAGGTCATGCCATATATTTAGACGTTTCCATCAGTCAAATGCGTGGTATGAGACTTGTAAGCTAGGTGGCACTGGTTCGCCTGCCAGGATGGAAGGGTTCCGCTGCTGTTGTAGCTGTCGTAATCAAGCTTGCGTATTTCACAGACTACCTTGCACCCAAGGCTTGGGGCGTGGTAAATTGTCAACTGAAACCACCACGAATAGGTAGCAAGACTCTGATCTGTTTATGATCTAAAGAAAAAATATTCAAGAGAGCGATCATGCCAAATTTAGAAGCGCCGATGCAATTCCTTTCACCCGCTCGTGCAGTCAGCCGATTTGATGGCCCTAGACAAGAGACTGGTTGAGGGATAGAGCTGGAAATAGCGAAGTAAGATTCTATCAAGTTGGAGACCCCAAGAGGCTTGGAGAGACTTGGAGAGGAAGGATATTCAGCTGGGCCCACTCCTTATCACCTCCAATGAATCCCCGAAATATTAATATAATGTATCGCTATGAGTATCTCGTGCTCTGTTACGTGATATTATTCAATTAATCTAACCTAAGGCTGTAAACCGATACCTGGTGCAGTGATAAGGTGCAGATAAGGTGCAGATAGAGACATTGAAGGCTATCATTTTACCGTTGTCTCCAGATGACTGGAAAGACTACGCACGTAGGGATGATCTTTGAGCCGGATCAGCCAGAAATTGCTGATACGAAAGACGACTGAGAATTCAGCTTCCGTCTTATCGAACGCCTCGCCGCTACCGGACCGACAGCTGTGTGAATATAAAATGTGCCCCAGGCGACCGGCTCCAAGAATTTCCTAGGTTTGATTCTCGCACGCAACTACCTAATCGTTCAAATTCCCCGGAACTAACCAACATGTTGCTCGCGCCGTTTGGAACGCTCTTGGCCGCTGCTGTCACCGTTTATGCGACTGCCGTACCCGCTATGCGCGGCACGCGCATGAAGCAGGACGTTGATACTGGCTTCGAGTGGGATCCCGAAGCATTCAAAATTGCTGCAGTGCGCGAGCCTCCAGTTGGTTTTGTGTACCACGATCTCTGGGAGACGACGACCTGGTATAACTACGACCTCAACGCCACTATTGCTCAATCAGTCAAGATCATCGGACAAGCTGCAGCTGAGGGTGTCAAGTTTATTGCCTTCCCGGAGATCTATTTCCCTGGGTATATCCCCTTTCCCGCTGGCATAGCTCTAGCCTATAACTATCAAACTAATGCGATTCGTCCTAGGTATCCTGCCTTTCGCACTGCCAACGGCCCAGAGGACTTCGCGCAATATGTATCGCAGACTATGGAGCCCGGCGACGCCCAGTGGCAAACTCTAATGAAGGCTTTTGCTGATGCTAAGATGTACGGTGTTGTCGGGTGGGCCCAGAGGGCTAACAACTCTCTCTTCATGACTCAAAGCCTTGTTGGTCCCATGGCCGACGGCTCGGCAGGAACCATTTGGAAACACGAAAAGTTCCGTCCCTCCGGCGAGGAGCGCACGCTCTTTTCCGACGGACTACTCAATACCATCCGCGCTCAAAAACTACCCTTCGGGGTGGTCTCGATGCTCAACTGCTGGGAGGCATGTTGCCTTCTCCTATACACTTCGCTTACGAGTAGTCGGGTAGAAACTGACCATTGCTTATAGCATGTTTACCCCGAGTCCCGGTTTATCTCCGGTGCCCAACCTGCCAACATTCACGTCGCGTCCTTCCCGTACGTCCTGTCTCTCAGGCTGGGATCCCCAGCAACCTCTAGTAAAAAAGCTGACCTCGACTATTTTCGCCAAACAGGATTGGCAGCTCGGTTGCCAATGCGACCGTCAACGTTAACCCTTATACGGGGTGGCATGCCGATGCCAAGGCATACGCCGAGACTGCTGCTGGTTCCCCCATACTCATGCTGCCCACATATGGTGCCTCGGGCATTTTCTCCGGATCGACTACCCTGAACGAGTCGACCAACACCCTCACGACAGGTTCACAGCCGTATGTCACTACTGTCCTGAATACGACTACGTTCAGCGACACCTCGTACAGCGTGAACGCATACAACAGCTGGGGCGCCGTCGAGAACATCATGCAGAATCTCCCCTCCGATATGCCGCAGCGCAAAGGCCCCTTCCTCCAGCGCGTGATCTTTACGATTGATCAGCTCACCAAAGCTTATATCTGGACCCCCGGGTTGACCTGCACGCCTACTTCCAAGTGGCCGTGCCTCAAGGTCTGGCCGCAACACCAAGAGTCGGATTTTACGGCTTCGTCTACTTGAGCGACGTACCAAGAAGCGACTTCAATGCATGTCGTTGCGGTGTGATTTGGCGGACGGTAGGTATCAGCGCCGGAATTGGAAGACGGGGTTGAGGTATGGAACGGGGAGCAGTGTCGGAGCGAAGCGCACATAGATACTATGCTTGTCGGATGCAGGTTGCGGAAAGCAGAAGCGGAAAGATCATATAGTACTATTCGCATGTATTCTTGTAGGGACGAATTTGCGTCTCTCCTGATGTTCTTCCAGCATGTCCTTGCAATATGAATCTGTCATCTAAACCGCATGGCTGCACGTGATTTGTATGCTTGCCTGGTTCGGTTTCCATCCATGGATTATTGGCTCACTTAGAAGTAACCGATGACGTCACTATGCTGTAATAGGATCATCCCTCGGATGGAAAGAGCATCCGCCCAACCAGCAGCATTCGCTTCATTGTTTTTCAACCTTGCAAGCCACCCTTCCCTCTTGATCCCAGGCTCCAGCACAACCTGAACAAATACGGAATAATGTCAGGTACCCTTGAGGGCAAAACCGCCCTGATCACCGGCGCCGCCAGCGGAATCGGGTAAGCCCACCCCACCCTTCACTCCCGCTATGTGACAGTTCACCTTATTCCCACCCCTCCAGAAAAGCCACCGCCCACAAACTGGACAGTCTGGGCGCCACATTGATCCTATCTGATATCAACGAAGATGCCCTGCAGCAGCTCCAATCCGAGCTGTCCAGCAGCCCCCGCGCCTCGTACCACATCTACCGCCCCTGCGACGTCTCCCTCAGCACCGACTGCACCCGACTCACCCAGGCGGTGAAGTCCTCCTTCGAACACCTGGACTTCCTGTTCAACTGCGCGGGGATCAACCCCACGAATATCCCCATCCTCGAAATCAGCGAGGACTACTTCACCAAGCTGGTGGACGTCAACCTGCGCGGCACCTTCAACATGTGTCGCGCCTGCGTGCCCCTCATGCAAGAAGGGTCCGTCATGGTGAACGTCTCCAGCGTGTGCGGTCTCAAGGGGTACCCCGGGTACTCGGTCTACTGCGCGACCAAGTTCGGGATCATCGGGCTCACGAAGGCGCTGGCCGCGGAGCTGGGTCCCAGAGGCATTCGGGTGAATGCTGTCGCGCCGGGGCATACGGACACCCCGACGATGGTGGGGAATGTGGCCGGCGGGGATGCGAATGCGCGCATCGTCAAGGAGGTGCCGTTGGGGCGGCTGGGGGAGCCCCGTGAGGTGGCCGATGTTGTGGCCTTTTTGTTTAGTGCGGGGGCGTCGTACATGTCGGGCAGTGTGGTCGAGATTACAGGGGGCGTAATTTAGAGGTTTATGGGTAATGTCAACAGTAGATCTGTTGGATTGGATTCTCGGCATGGACTTTGTGATTGCATCAAGTGTATATACCTGTATGTATATGAGCGAAGTAAATCCATTGGGAAATCTTGTCACCGAACATCCTTTGGGGTTCACTTGCTTGTGAACCAGCCGATGAGTCAAGTGTGGGTGACTTGGGTTGGTTGATAGCATACATTCACCGGGGAGCTTTGCTCCAACTCCGGCGGGCTCACCCGCAGCACCCCGCATTTCGTAACTCACGGATAACATTACAGTATGGAGAAGATATGGCTATTCCAGGCTGCCTTCTATGACTTTTACTCTATATCAGTGCTTCATGTTCTTTGTCCGAGTTCAACCACCTTGATTCCCACCTACTGATGCCGTCAGACCATGGCCAAAACACCCTTTACCCCTTTTCGCGGCCGCAGGAGTGTGGTACATGGTCTCAATGGCATGGTTGCATGTTCGCAGCCCCTGGCGGCGATGGCTGGCCATAGAATCCTCACTCAAGGGGGCAATGCTGCAGTATGTACATCAAAGTATCTCGCCAACCACGCATCAAGTCTTCACTAACTCATTGGAGGATGCTGCTGTAGCCGTTGGTGAGAACATTCCCAGCCATTATGACAGTCCATCGCCTTTATTGATTTCGTCAATGTAGCCGCTGCACTGAACGCGACCGAGCCAGCATCAACCGGGATCGGAGGCGACATGTTCTGTCTCTTCTACGATGCACCCACCAAGAAAATCAGTGCGTTGAATGGCTCAGGCCGTGCCCCCAAAGCAATCACGCTCGACCAAGTTCGAACTCGACTGCAGCTGTCGCCGGGAAAGTCTGGTACCATCCCTCTAGATAGCATCCTGGCGGTCACCACTCCAGGCGCCGCGGCAGGGTGGGTGGACACGATTGAGAGGTTTGGATCAGGAAAGCTGGGGCTGCACCAGATCCTTGCGCCTGCGATCGAGATCTGCGAGCGCGGCTTTCCGGTCTCGGAGGTTTCGTCGTCCATGGTGAGTATCTTGTCGTGATCGTAGGTAGAGCATTTGCTGATTACCCCATACCAGTGGCATGGACATGAACCGACTCTTCGCAAAGCATCGCCGCATTTTCACGAACTGCTCAAAACCGATGCAGCCGCCCCCGATGGATGCAGATCACCACTGCCAGGCGAAGTCATAACCAACCACGCCCTTGCGACGACATTCCGGGCCCTTGCGACCGAGGGAAAAGACGGCTTTTATCGAGGGAGAGTCGCCGACTCGATCGTCACAGCCGTGCAGGACCTCGGAGGCTTCTTGACTCACGAAGATCTGGAATATCACGCGCAGACTGGCAGCCAGATGGTCGATCCGATCTGCCTTCGGCTTTGGGCCGACCAGCAACAGCAAGCAGTGGATATCTGGGAACATCCCCCCAACGGCCAAGGTGTGGTAGCGCTCATGGCCCTAGGAATCATGGAAGAGCTCAGTCGTACAGGTCGCCTACCACCGCTGTCTCGCCTGACCCACAATTCCCCGGAATATCTCCACGCGCTTATCGAGTGCCTCCGCATCGCCTTTTCCGACGCTGCCTGGTGGGTTGCCGATCCGGAGGTGGAGCGTGTTCCGAATCTCATTTCCAAGGCGTATCTCGCCGAGCGAGCCAAGCTTTACAGCCCCAGCAAAGCGTCCGACGTGATCTGCCGGGGCAGTCCGGCCTTCCGGTCCTGCGACACGGTATACTTCGCCGTCGCGGATCGGGAGGGCAACGCGGCCTCGTTTATCAACAGCAACTACCACGGGTTTGGCACCGGAATCGTGCCCGCTGGCTGCGGCTTTACGCTGCAGAGCCGCGGGGCCAACTTCTCCCTAATCCCCGGTCATCCGAATGTGCTGGCGCCATTGAAGCGGCCCTACCACACCATCATCCCGGCCATGGCCACCCACGCCGCGGATGGCTCCCTCCACACTGTGTTCGGCGTCATGGGGGGCTTCATGCAGCCCCAGGGCCACGTGCAGGTGCTCCTCAACATGCTTGTGTTCGGGCTCAATCCCCAAGAAGCACTGGACGCACCGCGCATCTGTATCGCGGTGGAGGATGGCGATGCTGAGGGAGGTGTGCACCATAGCATGGTCTATGTGGAGGACGGCATTGAGCAAAAGGTGATTGACGAGCTGCAACAAAAGGGCCATCACGTTGAAGAAGTCACGGGATGGAAACGAGAACTATTTGGAAGAGGCCAGGTCATTCGCTGTCAGAGAGAGGCCTCTTACCGAGTATACAGCGGGGGCAGTGATTTTCGGGGCGATGGACTGGCGATTCCTCTTTAGGTTAAACGGATTGGAAACTGAATGTAAGCGACTGGTCCACCACAGTACAGGAGCATGTTGAGCTCGGGGGGGATGGCACGTGGACTCGGTTAACCCCAGAATGTGGGGGTGGCAATGGCATTTCCGCTGAATATAGACTAGTCCCCCGAAGACAGCTCGGGGCTTGCCGACTCGGCGCCCCCTCTGCGCGCCCCGAGCGCCATCATGACTCCCTGACTGGCGCATCCTCCTTCGTCTCCATATGAATATAGCTTCTTTTCCCCCCCTCCCCCCAAAAGAGTAGGGCTAGCTCGACCGCGTCGGCAGAGTGGAGGAGCATCCGGCATGGGGAGGTGTTAAAACCCGGCACTATTGCACCCCTGCAGTCATGTTTACTCCTTTCATGTCCCACGCCCATCATGGCCGACTTACACGACAAAGACCTCGAGAAGGTGCACGTTGATTTCGTGGAGAATGTCGAGAAACCAGAGCCCGCAGACCCGGTTCTGGTGGACGAGACAGGCCGCATTCAGCGTCTGCCGGTGCCCAGCGATGACCCCAACGACCCCTTAAACTTTGCTGTCTGGGCGAAGACTGCCATCATCGTATGTTGCTGTTGGTTCTGTAAGTGCCACTGGGATGGTGTCGAGCTTGCCGTGCCCTTTGCTAATTGACGCAGCCATCATGTCACTGTCGGTGGTGGGAGGACTGGGTTCGGTCCTCGACGTCTTCTTCCAGTTGTACGGGGCGGAAGGCCGCAGCACCAACCAAGTCGTCTGGCTCTCGACCTTCCCTTCCTTGTTCGTGGGCGTGGGTAAGCTTCCAGTGACATCTTCCTTGCCATTCTGTACGCAAGTGCATGCTGACTGGACCAGGAAACTACATTATCCTTCCTCTCGCCCTCGTATGCGGCCGACGACCGATCATGCTCATCACCACCATCGTCCTGCTCGGCTCGCTCATCGGATGCGCCCTATCGCAGAACTGGGGCCAGCATCTGGGCTTCCGTATCCTGATGGGTTTTACCACAGGCGCCACGGAGTCTGTACGTTCGCCCTTTCTCTGAGTGATCGCAACCACCTCACTGACCCAACCAGCTTCTCCCCCTGATGCTCGCCGAACTGACCTTCGTCCACCAACGTGGCACCATCTACGGCATCTACTGGGCCTCCCAGAACATCATCACCAGTCTGCTGACGTTGGGAAGTTCCTACGAAGTCGCCGCCCTCGGCTGGCGCTGGTTCTACTGGGTCTTCGTCCTCACCGTCGGCGTCGGCCTGGTCCTCGTGGTCTTCGGCTGCTTCGAGACCCGGTATCAGCGCGGAGCGGTCTTCCTGCAGAATCAAGCCGTCATCACCGACGAATATGGCGTGACGCGGGTGCTAGGCGAGGAGGAAGCCCGCGCCTGGCTTGCCGCGCAGACTGAAACCTCCTTCCCGGGGGCTCCCTCGCAGCATCCCCCGGCCAAGAAATCCTACCGCCAAATGCTCAGCCCGTGGCCGGGGGTGTCCGCGCATCCCGTGCAGACGGTCCTCAAGACCTGGTGGCAGATGCTCGAGAGCTTCAGCTCGCCCGGCGTGCTGTACGCGACGCTGCTGGCCTCGGTGGTGCTGGGCGCATCGGTAGGCGTGTCGCTGACGTACAACACGGTGCTCCAGTACAACTACGGCTGGAGCGCATCGGCGATCGGGCTGATCAATCTGGGCGGCGTGTTCGGCGGATTAGGCGGGATGCTGTACGCGGGCATCTTCGGCGACCGGTTCATCGTCTGGGCCGCCAAGCGCGCGGGCGGCGTGCATCAGCCCGAGCATCATCTGCTCCTGCTGATCGCTCCGGGCCTGCTCGCTGTCGCCTCCCTGATTCTGTATGGCTTCACGGCGGATGGCAACGCCACCTGGGGCGGACCCTTCATGGGTTGGACGCTGTACCAGGTCGCCTTTGTCTCGGTGCTCATCCGCACGACCTCCTTCGCCACGGAGGCGTGGCCCAAGAACCCGGGCCCCGCGCTGGTGACGGTCGTGGGCACGAAGAACCTGATCAGCTTCGGGGTCAGTTACGGGTTGAATCCCATGGTCGCTAAGTATAGTTACCCGGCGGCGATGGGGATTCTGGCGGGTGTCGTCGGCGGGGTGTTGCTGCTTGGCGTGCCGGTATACTTCTATAACCCTAAGGTTTGTTCTGCCCTTTCCTTCCCTTGATTGTGGTTTCGTGGGCTTAATCTAATATGCAATCAACAGTGGCGAAGACGAATGAGTGAGAAGGAGAAGTGAATCAGGTCGGGTCGTTGGTAGTCGTGCGGTCATGGTGGTAGTCTTGTACTGTTCTAATGAGATATGCTTTACACTTAGGTCTGACTTGATATATTGTGGTGACTGTAGACGATTACCAGTAGTCATACAATGTCTTTCTGACGAGTAGATTATGATCATATGAGCGGACCTTACAGTCCATGGAAAGTACGGGACAAGACAGTGGCAATCTTCCTCTCGGGGGTCGCCGATCAGCTCCAGGGATCCCAGCCCCCGCACGGAGCCAACTTCGGGGCTGTCCGAGACTTAGCCCGGAAGGTCGAAGTGACCCACTGTGGCCGATGCCCTCGGGCGAGATCGGTCGAGATTTGTTCTGGGGTTGGAGCACCCAGTCTGGCATCCCCCACATTCCCGAAATGCTCCAGCCCTGCGTTATCTCTCACTACCCCGTACTTTGCATCTTGCTCATTATTTGGCCACAGGAGAGTGCTAAAACCTCGCCTCGATCTCATATGCTACAATAACCAGGGATTCCTTCGTGAATGTGCCTGTGGAGCTGATCATGCGTGGCATGCGATGAGAATTAACTTACAACTTGAACTACTCATCCCTCTAGTGCGGTTTCGCAGCTGTGCGTCCCTGCCTTTTCAAACCGGATGACGGTTGTAATATGATTGAAACCAGCCTCTACGTTGCTAATATTGCAGGGTAGAGATGGAAGACTCGCATTTCCTCTTCTTAGCCACCAGGAAAATCACTGTTGCACGACATACCAACACAAGCCTGAACATGCAGCGATGAACGCACTCTCGCCGTGCAGCTCCTGATGTGTCTCCCAGAAAACCTCAATGCAAACCTCCAGCCCCTGAACCAGCCCCAATCTTCACCAACCCGTCCAGAATATTCTTCCGACTATCCCGCGGATCGCTGTGACTGTACATCGCTAGCGCCTGCTAGAAAAGCTCTCGACATTCACGGAAAGCTTCGTGGGCACCCTCCATGATCAGGTCATAGACTGGCACGTGATGGTGCTCGATGGTGCCGTCATCCTTCATGCGGGATGCTTGCTCGACGGAGAGAAATGATGCTTGAATTTATAGCTCATCGGCGCCCTTTGCTTACATCTTCGAGCGTAGGAAGAATATCATCCTAGAGATGACAACTCTCATCGCAACCCATCCCGGACTGTTGCATTCGGACATCAGCCCGGTCTAGGACTAGCCGCATCTGCATTTGACTTGAAGCTATTGTGGGCCTCTGCATGAACCGACATATCCGCCAACCATACACCAGGGTGCTGCACAGGAAGCCTCTCGATACCTGAAGTGAGCAATCGTCTTCGAGGCATTGTCTGCAACATCCCACTTAGATATCTTAAGACCCTGCGCTAGTTCCAGGGATCCTGAGACTATTGAGCTAGAGACTCGTATTCATAACACCCAAGCAAGCAGGGCTGAAGCCTGACAAACCCCTCGGACGCTAGTCATGTGACCATTCCTCAAATGGGGGAGCGGCTGGGGAGCGCCAGCCCTGATTAGGGTTGACTATGCTCGACTCAGTAAGCATGTCTCGGAGAGTGAGCGTCGACAGTCGAAGACTACTGTCTGGAGCACTCAGCTGGCGATTGTCATGGCCGGAATTCCGATTAGTGATCGTTGCGGGCCATGTTTCACTGCACGGGCCGAGCGACGGCCCATAGCAGAAGACATCTTGACCAAAGCTTGGTGCGGCGATGACCGGGGTGTTTTCCATGGCATCCATGGCAAATATGCACGAAAAAAGTGTCAAATCTGGCGAATGAGACGCAGGTGATGGGGCCTGCAGTATCTTGGTTAGTGCTTCGATGATTCCTGCTCGTATAAGCATCCTTTGACGAGGGCAACTACAGCCTACACATCACCCACATCCCTCTTCGCGCGAGCATGCAGACGTAAGAGAATTAGATTTATAACGATCGAGTAAACCAGAATGCCGCCCTTCCCAGACCCTCAACTCCAACCCAACCCAAAATGCTTAGTCGTAGGCCACGATCACCTGCCGGCTGACGACAATGTCGGCTTCGCCGGGACTCTGCCCGCCCTCCAGGATCTGTCGCTCGCTGTCCCCGTCGCTGAAGCTGCGACGGCCGTGCTCGGCGACCGTGCTCGTGGTGACGTGGTTGGGGTTCTTGCCGTGCTCGGCCAGCTCGTAGGTGCGCGAGAACACGCCGCCGCCCGTGTGGTGCGAGCTGTGGCCGTAGCCCGGGGACCGGTTGTAGTTCTTGTAGTCGGAGGTCTTGCGATCGCGCAGAATGCGGAACAGGGGGCGGAGGGTGGCGACGTTGCCGACGATCATCCCCAGCGCGTTCTCCGCGAACCCCCAGATCACCACGTTGGCCACGCCGAAGAGGTAGTCCGATTGCGAGGTGAGCGCGACGGTGTACTTGAGACGGACGCAGGCGGATAGCGAGGCACTGTACGGAAAATGGGGTTAGATGGTTGTTTGTGCGGTGCGGTGAAGGACAGTGGGCGGTGTACGTACAAGATCCCCAGACCCATCAAGCCAACGATCGAGATCTTGGTGTTGCGGTTGATCTGGACATTCCAGAGGAGGGGCACGGGCAGTAAAGCCGTCACCCAGTCGGTCAGGATGTTCACGGCCGTGCAGGCGTAGTACACGTCGGCGAGGACGTAGGACGGTTGGCAGTGACCTCCGTTCTTCAGGGCTTCGTCATTCCAGGCAGCACTGGGCGCAGTCAGTCTCGTTGTCCACTCGATTCAATAGTCAGAGGAC